CCCCAAAACCCCAAAACCCCAAAACCCCTGAGGAGCTATCATTGTGGAATTTTATAATAATTTGTGAAATATGCTAAAAAACCATAGATGCTAGATCTGGCTTCAAATATTGGTACATCATAAGGATACTGCCTTAGTCACTTTGAAAGTATCTTCATCAGGACAAGGAACCAGAGTGTGGTTAAGAGATTACAGATTTGGCAAACCAAAACCAAATGTATTGAGGCAGGTAAGTTTTATGGTTGCCTTTACAAAACATCCGTGAAGCCAACCAAGCTAACTTGTCATACATGAATAAGTTCAGGCTTGAAATTTTGTCTTTTCTTTAAATTTTAGAGATTTTACTTTCTTCTCTTCCCAAAATTTCCCATTATTGTATTTTAATTAAAAATAGGTGGAACACTTGAAAAGACTGAAGCAGAAGTAATATTCAGCATAAATGAGATAGCTCTTCTCAGATACAAAAATCTTTTGCCAAGATTTTGTTTGCGAAAGCTATAGCAGGATAAATAAACAGTATACTTATCAAAACAGAGACCTGTATTATGTTCATTCAAATTAATACAGTATTGAGCTTATATCGAGGTTGTATTAAATCTAGAAAAGTTGCATATCTAGAAGATTATAAAATAGTTGCAGCTTCTGAGTAGTCTACCATTTACTTATTTTCATAGATAACAATAATCCATCCCATAAGCTGTTTTCCAAAAATTCAAACCCTTGAAACTTCCCAGGATCCAACATTTACCGGTAAAAAGTATCTCCAAAGAGGAAAAAGAGACTTTGTGAAATGTATAATCCAGCTGAAGCACAAAGCTGAATCTCTCACTATCAGATCTGAGGACAATATTTGTTGACTAAACCGGTTGTTCCATCTGTAGCCAGAAGCTGGTTCAACCTTAAAAGTGTTAAAATCGCCTAGTTCACCATCACTTTAGTCGAGTTACAGAGACTGCTGAAGTCTGCTCACCTATTAAAATCTGTATGGTTTTAATGACTGGAGAATCCTATTAGATGAATAATCAAAATGCTGAATATCCAGTCCTGGCAAGGAGGTATTGATAAAAAATCTCGATATTCGAATACAGTTTCCAAGGTAAGCTTGTTTCTAACAAATCATAAAAACAATTTATTCTATATAGTTACTGAAGGATCCTTATTATCGACCTAGTAAGAGTGGTACCCAGGTATTCCAATCTTCCTAAATAATTTGAGACTTGAATAAGTTTAAAGAAAACCTTCAGAGTCCTTCCTTATCACAATCATAAAGATATTTTTACTAAGATAATTTTCAGATGAATCCTTTATTTTAGCTCTATAGTTTTAATTCGATAAATTGGGGATGCCTCAGGTGCATTCCTAAATGTCCTAAAGTATCAATAACTATACAAATACTTCAAATTACTTCTACAATGCACGCACGACTGATAACCTTCCTTTGTGGAATATAGACCTGATTTAATAGCTCTCAATTTTTATCATAGGAAAGGGGTTTTGGGGTTTTGGGGTTTTGGGGTTTTGGGGTTTTGGGG